ACAGCTTGGTGTCGTCGGCAAACTTGCTGAATATTTTCTGCGTTTCTAGTATGGTTTTATTTTCCTTTTTTTTTTTTTTTTCTTTTAACCTGAGAAGCAGGAGAAATTATCCTTTGTAGCAAACTTCAGGTTGTTTTGATTACACTGATTACAGTCCCCAAGCAAGCTTATTGAAAGGTAGCTTAGGGTTTTCTATACTATGATGTGGTCTGCAGTGCAACCACACTACCATATTTCTAAATGACATTATTGAGTTTAAACCTTATTTTCAACACATCTGATGAACAAATAGCTAATGCAATAGACTTCAGGGCTTTATAGCTTGCTTGCTTGCTGTCCTGTGTCAGACAATGCAGTGTGTCTTGTTTAAAAGCAGCTGCGGTTATCAATACTCATTCAGATCTTTCTAAAGTGTGAAAGGCAAAAGCAACAGATTATTGCGAAGTGGACATATGCATCTGCATACAACGGTGTTATGCAAACAGCAAGCAGCATTGACTGAGGTGTGTAAAACTTGGGTTAGATCATACCGCCCAGTAGATACTGACTCTTGCCGGTCACCTTTCAGATATAAATCATTTGAATTCAGTTTAATCACAGTGCAGTTATACCCCAACATTTTCCCATTTTAGCAAACAACTTTAAAGGTTTATCAAAGTAATAGATTACTGCAGTTGTTAGCACTCAATGTACTTAACTCCTTTAAGACTTGTCCCATAATGATACTGGTGGATAGTAATGGGCATAGTAAGTACCAGCGATTAACTGCAGTAAGCGACTAACAAAAACCCCACACCATCTTACATTACTTAGAACTGTATCAGTTACCTACTAGCTTTGTAGAATAACATATATAATGTGTTCTCATATTAAGCAGTATTTGACAGTTCCTATGATTACCAAGAAATGAATTATCAAATAAATTTCAACATTTCATATGGTTAGAAATCATTAGTCCTTTTGATGCATTTGCTTAACTACCATGTTGAGCTTGCCTAAGAACAACTAGTTGCAATAAAAGTCCATCAAGTCAAATCCTTATTTCACTAATTTATATATATCACTTTATTTAAAAGAAATATTTAAATGGACTGGTGTAGATTAAGATTTTTTGTAAAACAGTATTGTTCTGATTAGATATGCTTCTATTTTTCCTGAACTGCTTACTCTTTCAGGAACTAGCTTGAGTAATGCAAACAAAATACCACATTGCCAGTTTCACTGGGAAGATGTACCAGGATTATATGATTAGTCCCCAGACTCAAAGCGTTTGAAATTTATGCAGTCTGAAGTTGTATGATATACTTCAACAAGTGTAAAAGGTACACCAAGGAACATCTGTAACCCTCAACATGAGGGAAAAAAAGCATGCTAGTCTTTCGGCTTATAAAATAAAGCTCATTTGTATGTCTCAAAGCAGCGAACAGCCATGGGTTTGATGCAGCGAGACTGTGGTACAGGGATATACATGGGTGAAAAATCGCCCCCAGAGTTATAAAATTATTAAGAGGTAAAACCAGATGTATATACCTACATGTATGTGTGTATTCAGTACTACAAAAAAATAAATCTCTCCACAACCCAAATTCCCAGCTGATGAATTGTAAAGTTGGGGGAAGCTGGTTAAAGATACCTACAATTCTGAATTCTAATCCAGACTGAAACCTGGCAGTTTGAGTTTTATTGTCACATCCTATGAAATTCTGCTTTTAGTGTACTTTTCAGAGTGACAGGTTGCTAATGAAACCCTTATTTTTGCCTGTGTATTGCTAGGACCTTGCACCTGTGATCCAGTCTGTACCACATCCCCATGGAAGTAGCCCCTTTCTGGTAAACAGCTCCCAAATGAACAATATTGACCATGCATCACCAAATCACACCATGGATATCTACTTCTGAAGGCTGAATTCAAATGAAATTCAAAGCCAGTATTTTATATATGTTATTACTTCGCAATTCTAGGTTTAATAAATGTTCCCATCTTCTTTACTGAAAAGGTATGTTTCAGCTTGAAAATGCCAGCTTTTTATTTCTTCCGGTTTATTCTCACCGCTTTACTTCTCCCCTCCCCTTTTCCCTATGCTATTTATATAAACATCTTCAGTTTTATATTTTATTTCAGTGAAGTCATATACTTGGAGAATTATCCATAGTAAAGCTCTACAATCTGTTTCTACTTCTAACAGTTCTATTGTTACATTACAAATTAAAAAGATGTCTTTAAAATTATTCTTAATTTGGCAAGCTTATTTCTGGAGATCAGCTATTAATGACTAGCAGCTGAGAATCCTGCTGCAGTCACTTTCAAAGGGAAAGTAACTCCAGATTAACAACAAGGGAATTCAGAAATAGATTCCCGTTTTAAAGCCTTTTCTGAAAGGAAGTTTAAAATTATAAAATAAAAGTGAAAGTCTCCTAAATCTTCTGTAAAGCATGTTTCAGCCCTACACCATGATCACCAAGTTAATTTTTTACCTGAATGTTCTGTAGCATGGAACCTATATAGTAACGGACACAGCTAAATCTATGAAACAATTAGATGTCCACTTGAGTGGCCACAATGGAAGCAAGAAACCAATTAAAGTTGCTTATGAAACTTTTCTACTGATGAAATCACTGTCTACAGAAGGATGCCAAAAAATCAGGCAGAAATAGGTGATAAAAGGCTGCTGCAATTATCTGGAGAGATTATTAAGATAAAGTTAATGGAACTTCAAGAAGTGCCTGAGAGTATTTCTACATTTCCATGTGCTCCTATAAAATCTACCAAGTGTCTGTTTATACACCAGATGGGTTTGTAGAAGTAAAAACAATTTTCTTAACCTCAAATACTGGAAAGTAAACACAATAGGCTAGTGAATGTGATGTTTACCAGGGATAAATAAATGTATACCATATCACTTTTTACTGTCAAGTCCCATTTAAGCACCTGATGTGTCACTCCAGGATCAGGAGAGAAAAGAACATGTGGCCAGCGTCATGAAGGAAGCCAGGACCACAATAAAACCAAGGTAGTTTGCTTTATATTGCTGTGGAACTAAACTTTTGTAAAGATGGATTTGAAACTACCATGAAACTACGGCTGAAAGTTATCATGTGTCTAAGTTCTGAAATTATTCCTGTAGTCTATCTCACATATAGATTTATTACATGGCTCCTTTCCCACTCAATTTAGGGCTGTTTCTGATCCTGATGCCCACCTCTTCCCACACTGCTTACTCATTCTTCCCGCCGAGCCCAGTATTACATTCCCTCTGGAAAAAGTTACAGTACAGTGAAAGAGATAGATTATGATTAACTTTATATCCTTAGCAGGTTTAAGGTCTTATGTCTGTGAGGTGCAACAGCTACTTCATTACCAACAATAACTAGTAAAACAACATGCATGCTTCTGGGAAGCTCTGAGGAAATTAAAGTCTCCGAATCTTGGAAATGCCTTAGAACATGAGACACTCTGAATCTGCTTAACCCTCTGGAATGCCAACATTGTTTTGGATGAGATGGAACAGATCCCTGGAGGGCAGCAGGGTTTAGAACCTGGTTATCATGAACCAACAGGTAACCTGAAGGCAACTCTTAAACGTAATTTGATCTCACGGTATCTCACATTCAGTGCCACTTTGAAACCTAGAATCCCCAAATCGTCTAAAAAAATGCAAGTTATGAGAAAGGCTTTTGCTCCCATTAAATATATCCAAACCAGAGGCTGCAGAACAAAGCCTCAACTGGAGTACTTAAGAGATCTTTGGCAGAAACTCACCCTTTTCTCCATTTCCAAAAGTGATCTGTCAGCAAATCTTTCTTGTCTCTGAAACACAAAATCAATGAAGACATTGATACTTGTTCTTAACCAACATAAAACTGAGGAAAAAACAATTCAACTGGACATTTTAGTATTCTGCTTGAAGTATGTCTTGAAAAGCATTTTAAGTGCGTTCAGGGAAGTTAACACTGAAATAAAGGAGAATGAACTGGATTTATCACGTACTTCCTCTGTGACCATCCCTAAGTAATTTAATCACTACATAGCCTTTGGAAATAAGAGTAATATAGTATTTCTATCTAAAAGCACTACAAAACAAACAACTTTTTAATGTACTTCACTGGTATTTACAGGGTACACATGGAAGACACTTAAGTACAGGTAAATTCTGGCAAATACGATCTGAGACTAGGAAATACTCTTTCTACAGCAATTTAAGACAAATTAAACTTTTGTGTATGTATTTGCTATTACTGTATTCAGCACTGTTATCTGACAGCAGTTATCTGTAACTGAAGAGCACTATTTGCTCTTCAGTTCTAAGATAAAGCTATCTAACTAGCCAGGAAGAACTGGCAGGTTATGCCCATCTGCCAGCAGGTTTATGAATTAATCAATCCATCCTGACTGACAGTTGGAATATAAACTTAACAGTGTGGAAAGTGTATATCCCTACCCAGCAAAGAAGTTCCAGATACATGCTGGCAGGAATCACTACTACTTAAATAGGGAGGAAGCAGTCCCACACATTTTGTGCATAGCTGAAGACCAGAATCCCGCGCTTGTTTCTCTTTAGAAACAGAGAGGCACTCTTCACTCCCATCGTTGGGTAAGAAACAAAGCTGATGCCTAGTACAAAGCAGCCCATAGCCTGGCGTGCTTCTAGTTTGCTGTCCAATTTGTCAGTTAAGTACATACTTTTTTGTTTCATACAAACCTGAGTGGTCTTCTCCAACTGTAGCTTAAGATCTGTAAGTTCCATGTTGGTATCATGTAACTGTGCTTTCAGTTTTTCATTTTCAGCTAGAATCTGTTCATAAAGCTAAGAGAAAATATTCATTAAAAAAATACCAAATAGTCATTCAGTGAGATTAGCTGAAAAATTTAAAAACTGTGATTGAGATGCATGTAAAATGAACAAATACATTAATAGTCTAAGAAGTAAAAACCAGTTACAGATTTTAAAGATGTTTAGAATTAGCAAGCACTTTAAAGAATTGTAACCAAATATTTCAAGAAACAAGCAACTCCGTACAGGGAGCATGTAACTTACCTATCACATATTAAAAATATACTTGCCACTCTTTTTGCTTCAGTATTCACAAATTAGATACCACAGTAAACTTTGTCAAACTCTTACTCTGTTTTCAAGCAAGATCTGAACAAATTTTTACATTATATGTATGTAAATTAGCAAACATATAAAACAAACGGCTTCACACATGTCTAAAGAAGTTTTAATGATACAATCAACTGAAAAAAAAAAAAAGGTTGTATTTGTCATAAAAAATGGATCTTGGCTCCTCTGGATTTCTACCTTGCCTTGAAGAGAAAAGTGCAAAAGCCAGAAGCTGTTTTGTATTGTACATTTGCCTCCAGTGTAGTGGCTGCTTTGTTCTCCATTTGGCTGAGTTGCTTTAAGCAGCATTTGTGATGCAATGTGAGATTGTTTCCAGACAATTTATGAGAAACAGTAATAAAGTTCTATTTTCCCACCAAAATTATCAGATCAGATACCTTCTTAAAATCAGTGCTATCTTCTTTTTCTAGTCTACTGCAGTATGGTTTTCGATCTTCGAGGTAACTCTGTGACACTGACCGCCCTTGTGCTGAATCGTAACGATCACCTGAAGACAGGCTCAGGGATCCCATATCATATCTGTAAAAGTAAAGGTCTTATTTTGTGTTCAAACTGAGACCACTCACTGTATCGAATATTAGGAGTTTACTGTAACCCAGCTGAAAACAATCAAATGCAATTATGTGCTTTAGTATAGACACTGTCTTCTAATTTGATGCAAATTTAGTTTTTCCATTCTCTCAGTACTTCAAGATTCTGTATGAAAACGTTCTCAAATTGCTCAGTTTGCCAAGTAAGCGCCTGTGCCTTGTATGCAGAGAAATCTTTTATATTAAATTAAAATATATAATTCAAGCAGATATTTTCATCTTAAAGGACTTAATATTAGCTTAGGTATTTTAATTTTTCTTTATTTATAAAGACCTATTTTTTAAAAATAACTTACTTTAATGGAAAGTTTTTATAAAAGTAATCTCTAAAATACTGTCCTTGATGAATTCTCCAGGTTTTATTAAGAGAAACCAAGGAGATTTCAAACTTTTTCTTGTGAATTCTAGTATTTCAGCAGAAGTGGTTTATGAAACAAATCTTCAGCAAAGTCTTTATCCTATTCATCACTATAATACAAACGGTATTAACAAAGTTCAGAATATTTTCACACTGTTCACTTTTCACTGATCATGCGCTGTAGCAGATCTATTTAACAGATTTTCAGCACAGACAGAACATACTAAAATAAAATAATTCTAAAGGTCTAAAAACAAACCAAAACTTTTTTTTTTTTTTAAAGGACTGATATTTCTGCATTGCCTTTTAACACATCTTAAGGAAATCTGATATTCAGTGGGTGTAGTACTTTTCTTGAGATTCCTCGCAAACTTTCCAGTAGGGTATTCTAAAAGAGGGGCAACAAGAACCTCTTATCTTCATTGCAAAATCTGACTTCACGCTGAAAAATCTGCAGGGAATGGTCCTATATCCACAATGTTCTACAAAATGTCCAGCCTTCTTTCAGTGCACTACTAATAGAGTCCAATATATTTCCCAGAATGGCACAGCCCACACACACGATAAAAAGTATTCAGTACTGTAGCTTCACAACTCTATTTCATACAAAGATTAAATATCACTAATGTCTTTTAAAGCTCAACCTATCTGACAACGGGGGGTAAGCTGAATTTGTATGTGAAGAACTTAAAAAGAGAGTATGTGAACAGAAAGTGTAAGAATTTTAATTTATTTAAATTGCACTTACCTTGACAGGCTGTCACTCTGAGGTGGCAAGGGGCAAAAAGAGAGAAAAAGAATGGATCAAGTCAATTTTATTAAACAAAATACACAGCAATTTGTGAACAAATACACTTAAACAGTTACGTTAAATGCATACACTATTCAACAGTATGTGTTGTCAAGCTTCAATTTTGTTATGTCTGGAACAGAAAAGAAATATGTTCTAGAATGTGTTTGCCAAAATAAGATTGCCAAAATATGATTTATAAGGATGTTAACGTTATACCCTAAACGTCTGGACTGGCCTAAACATTAGGCATTTCAGCAGTCGGTGCATTCTGCAATTTGCCTGCCTATTATCAAAGGCATCAGAACTGTGCTGTCTGAATTCCCTAGTCCTTCCTCTTCTCTACCATTAGTAATAATGTTTTGAAAGGTCAACAGAATAAAGACTTCACCTCAAGATAATAATATAAAATAAGCTACAAGATCATTGTTTCAACATAGCTCAACAGGAAACAACCTACTACACCAGTAACATAAGGTAGCACTTATTATTAAGAGACATAATTTCATTTTTTTGTATTACTTTCATTCCAGGTGAATCCACAGGCACAAAGGTCACTCACTTTATCTGACAAGCAAAATTTAATTAGAACTGATGACTTCTAAGGGAGTGCCCTCTGAGCATTACATCAGCCATTCAGTCATACAAACCTTTTTCCCCTCTCGGTGATCAACACAGATTCATCGTTTATTCCAATTATAATAACAATCTTGAGTGAAGGCATTTCAGGAAAGAGACTCTACTCATGTATCATCACCTGGGTATCCTCCAATGTTATTCACCTAGACGTGGCTGAAGCCTTCCCCAGAGGTGGGTTTTTTTTGGTGTGGTGTGGTTTATTTGGTTTCCCTTTTTAGAAGGAAATTATTTTTTCAGTGTGTGTAGAGAAAAAAGCCACATTCTCCACAATACATGCAATTTCCCCTTTGACACCTTGGGGTGCATTTACTACACAGTAGCCTAACCACTCCTAATAAAACATGGTTATATTCTGCTAGGGGCATGAATAATGCCAAGAACTTGAGAGACTTCACAGGATATGTCCAGTCAGGTGGCACACACCTATACGTGGATATCTTTTAAGCTACTGGCCACAAGATTGAATTCTAGCTAAGCATGAGCTTTATCTTGCATAATTGCATGTTTAAGTAAGATCAGTCTGAGATTACAGAATTCCACCATATAATCAACGACTTAGGAAAATCCCTTTTCCACTGCTTCCTTCTCACCTCAACAAAACAGAGGAAGCTTTGTCCGCCGTCAAGACTTTAGGTTTCTCTTTATACCTTGAAGGAATGCTGTATGCAGAAAAATGTTAAGCTGGTCCTTTTAACGTTCACCTACAATGTAGGACAGCCACTACAAAGAAGTAAACCATTCCTACATTATTTCTTAACAAATACACTTTCTAAAGGCTGTTTTTCTTTGCTTCTAGTGGACTCCCCATGGTGCCGTGGGAACGTGAAACCTCCCAGATCTCCATTCCCCTGCTGCACTATAGCTTCCCGAACGGAAAGGCGAGTTATTAAGTCACACACAGACCATCTTAGAAACAAAATTTTCCAGCTACACAGGGAACAACAAATGAACGGGTGAGGTAAGAAAGCTGTAATTACTAGAGGCAGGAAAACACAGACACAGCCCATTCCCATTCTTCTGGCTGAGGCTGGGAACCTGGGAAGCTGGACAAGGATACCATAATCTCCAGAAAACTGTACTTCAGTGGCTTCTGTTCCCTGAAAGCTGTGAAGCCCTGCTCCTGCTGCCCAAGCACCATCCAGCCTCCACACCTCACTGGAAGACCCTCATGTTTCTCAAGCACATGCCCCTTTCTCTTTCCCCTCACTTTTCACAAAACATGTTTGCATTTTAATTTTGCAGCAGTCTTCACTGTTTGCTTTATTTCCCCTTCAGACTGTGTCAGTTCAGCTCAGTCACAATTTTTGACATTTGACAGAAAAGAATTCTGAAAAGGTGTGACTGAGTTTACAAACTTTACATAAAGCTTGTCTGAGGACAAATGATACCAGCAAAGCTACCCCTGTGTGTCCAAATCACATGACATGGATGTTCTTTGTAGAGTCACAGAGCAGAGCAGATCTTGCAGCCACAATTACAATGGCATTTAGCACACAAGCAGTAACAAAAAACTAAACCACAAATATCCTTATTTACACGACCTGAAATAACACTTACTTCTAACCCTTGTAACCTTTCAGAAGTCACATACTTGGTATCCCTAGATAAAACAAAGTTTCAGCCCATTTAATTATAACCTAATCACAGTTGTAGTACCTATTTTTTTTTAACACATCATCCTGAAACCCAGGTTTCTTAGTTACTTAGAATCTGTCAGCTGCTGAAGTGATCTGTCTTCCTTATTTTTAAATGGCTACCATACAACTTAGTTCTAAGGCTATCCTTCTAGCAGGAACACAAATTTCCTGTAAGTAACACGGCATTTTTTGTGTGAGTTGAAGGAATTCTCAGCTCTTAACATTAAAAAGCCTAAACAAACTTTCATTAGAACCTCCATCTGTCAAAGTGCCTAGCGAAGTCTGACATCTCTTTAATAGCTCTCCTTTATGGACAAAGGAGCAGCTAAGAAGTAAAAAGGCAGTTCTGAAGGATCGAAGAACAAGAAAGCACAAACTGAAATCTTACAAGAAAGTTCTTCCTTCTGAGATGAATAAGATAATAATTTTTTAGCTCCTTAAGGATTTCAGGCTAGAAATTATTCTGTCTAAGGTCCTTTAATTTTCTTTGTAGCATGCACCCAAGACCTCCTCTAGTTTAAATTCTTGAGTTACCGCCAAAGCCTTTGGAATTTTATAGTTACCATCGTCTACCTCTGGCTTGTAGCTTCACCAAGCAAAAAAACAACAGCAGCACCACGTAAGGGAGTAACAGAGAATTTCAGTAAATCCAAAGTTTCTGTCTTCTGAACAGTACATCAAATAATCGCCAGAACTGAAAAAGCATAACTATTTTCTGATTGACTCTAATTCTAGTTTATTCATACCTTTCATCTTCCTAGAACTGAGAAGCATTTGTAACCACATAATGAATTTCTACAATAAAGCGATTAAGATTTGTGTCAAAGTGAAAGCAGATTTAGCAACTAGAATACAGAAAGGGCAGTTTCTTTAGGCATTTAAAAAAATAATAAAAATACACTTTGTGCACGGATTTGGGAACAAATTGCCTCTTAGAATGTTCAAGATCTATTCCACTATTATATTTCTCAGGTGGCAATATAATGCATTGACAGAAGTGATATATTTAGTACTCAGTTTATCACTGATAAATGCTAAATAACTTTTTATTGAAGAGAGGAAGTTACCTGAAATTTACAAAATGTTTTAAATTTCTGATAAACCATTTGTATGCAAAGGAAAAACACCACCCAAATATGAAAACAATGAAATTATTATATGCAAATTTTAAGATATCTTATAGTTAACATATTATAATAATTACAAAGCTAGGACATTTTCTGCAATTTTGATGCTATACTGGAAATTCTGTACTAAATTTGACAAAACTTGAAAATCTAAAACCACGTGAAATACTTATTTTGAAATTCAACTCATTTTCACTCTAGTTTTGTATTTTCTGCAGCTGATATAACACAAGAGCTTATATCGACAAAGCAAAATCAATTTATGCAGCTAGGTGAAAGTGACAGTTCACACTTCCAATTTATTTCAGAGCTCTTCATGAACTCAAATCTGATATTACACTGATTTCTAATGAAGGCAAACTACTTAAGTCTTTGTGAGAAGTATGCCCACAAAGAGTGAGTATACTTCCCACATATATACAGAGAGAGAGAGAGAGAGAGAGGGAGAGAGCAAGAGCAAGCTGGGAGAATGTTTTGACTCCTAAGCCAAACCATGATCAGGCAGCCTAATTCTACACTTCACCATCCCACCCCAACGCACATCTTTTTAATTATAGCTCATATTAGTGATTTTGAGCCTGTTTTACCACTATTTCACTGTAGTTTTATGAGAGTCTAAATCTATCAGAAGCACCACATGGACATTCTACCAAAATGAATTTCTACAGAACAGAATAGGAGTAATTACAGACCTAAGGATAATGATATGCACTAATGGGAGGAAAGGAAACAGGACGATGCATTCATGTTGACACAGAAATAAAAAATAGAGCAAACCAAAACCAGAATGAATCCCTTAATTAAAGCATTTAAGCAATGTTTAATGGAAGCTTTTACAAAAAGAAGAGAAACATCACTTGAGTTTTAGTCCTCAGTAATGAAGCTGATTCTGTAGTGTGTAACTCCAGGGTTTAGGTCACGAGAAATACATCCTGCTATACCATTTTATAGTATAGCTTAAGTTATTACTTCCTTTTTTAATCCCTCTTCATCCCACTGTGACACACCACTCAGTTTATAAGGACTTTTTCCATCAAATCAAGCCTATTACACTGTTATCCACTGACTAATCGTGGTGAATTAGGATGTTCTGAAAACCATTTACTTCAACGGAGAAATCAGGTACTTTGTGCTCTTCAGCTTTCTATGCACCATTATATTAACTTCTCATGTTAATTATGTTATTGACAGCACTGGGGTTAATTTTAAAATGTTTTAATTAGTGTGCAGAAGTCACTGGACATCATTTATCTGAAAATAGCAGAGCAGACGGAACAAAAACTTCTGCAAGGTGGAGACTGACAGCTCCTCCAGTAACTTGCTGCAACATGTCCCTGACCTATACATCAGAGATTTCACCTATGTTTTATGAATGCTATTTCTATATAAGCAGACTAGAAGAGAAAAGCATCCATTTTAGCCATTGTTAATATGTTAAAATTTGTTATTAAAGCCTGCAAAGGAAATGGCACTGAACCATAGCCATGAATTACAAATCAAAGCACTCATAAGAACTCTACTCTAAGTACTCTTTTAATTGAATGCAATTGCAACAGAAGATTTACAATCAATATGTATATGTTAGAAAGTTAATGAAGTAATAATCTTTTTAAAATTACCTGAGTTTCTTTCTTATTTGTTCCTTCTTCTGAATCAGACTGGTGTTCCTGTTCATTTTCACTCTGGTGAAAGAGGTGGGAGAGGAAAAACAATTGAACTCTTGAAAGATCACTAAGATTTTAAGGCATTCTAGACTTAAGATGAAAATCTACGAGCAGGAGAATTCCACCTAAATAAAATATACAGAGAATATATGGTGAAAATCTTGAACAAGTGCATGTTCTCAGTACCAGAAAAACAGAATTTTGCATTTGGCATATGAAAACCTTGCTTTTACAAAATTTCATACTGATCCCATGACAAAGAAGAGGAAAAGGGAATTGGCTGAACCATCAATTATAACCCTTCTAATCTAACAGCAGTTCTTTCAATTGTAAGTACAATTTCTGGCACAATTGTAATGTGCCAGAAAATGATTCTCATTCTTACAGCTTTGGTATGCATGCAATAAGAATTATTCAATGATTATATTTTCCTTAGATTATGATTAATTCCTATTAAGTTATGGTTAATACAGTATTCTAGAATCCTTTTTAGCTTTATCAACATAACTTAGACTTTATTTTTATTAAGCTCCCAAAAGCTTCAAAACAGAGATACAAACAATATATAACATGAACAAGCATCAGTTTTTCCAGAATAGTTAATTATATGCTGTATTACCCTAACCTACTCTCTATGTTAAGAATAGACTGTACACATTCCATACTGCTACAAGCTAAGACTATAGATAAACAGTAGCAGTTGTTTACTTACATCTTGAGTCCAAAAAGAAACTCCTGTAGATCGTCGTTTTTCTCTTGGTCGCCTCCTTTCCCTTATAGACTTAGGCTGTGACTTATCTTCTTCCTTTTCTTCCTCTTTTTTGCCCCCTTCTGTTAATGACAACTTTCTTATCCATTTGACGCAACTTTTCCGAAAATTTTCTGAGATAATTCTCAGTCTTCAAAACGCTTACAAAAAATTTTTTGACCTGAGATAAAAAGTTGCTAAAGAGCTTCTTATCACATACAGGGTTTGCTGTAATACACATTCCTCAGAATACAGCTCTATAATACTATAAATACTGTTCCAATTCTTGAGCATCAACTTCAAAATACTAATTCCATCTCACCCACCTCAACAAAATGTTTCAATGTAACAGTAATACACACAAATTGTACTTAAGATTCAATTTTCAAACCTGTCATATAGTAATTCAAACATCTGCATCAGTAGATTTATAAAAGTACAAGAGAAGATAATTCTTCACAATTCTTCATCAAACAAGGGGTTTTTTGCTTACATCAAGAATTCGATACTAAACCCCAAAACCTTTTAAAATTCTGTTAAATCCTCCTTAGAGTCCCCTGTTTCATTACAGTCCTCTCTGTTTTGATCTAAGGAATAATAAAATGGTATCTCCTGGACTACATTAATACAATATTACATAGTTCCCTTTTCTTTAAAAGAAATGCAATTGCAGTTCAAGCCTGACGTAGTATCTCAGTATTGTGTTTTTTCCCCTATATGTTTACAAGTAATTTGTACAAAAAACACCCCATAAACCAAACAACCAAAACCAAAGTTGCCCAAACCAGTTACTTGCCTATTATCATGCAGTCTATTTAGTGTGCTGTTCTTTTATTAAAGAAGGAAACCACAGATTTGAGTTCAGACAGAAGCATCACTAAAAACGTGACTTTAGCATCACTAGTCTTTTAGAGGTAAATAAACAGTTTAGTGTGAAGCAAGAATTAAACGGGAAAGAAGGAAATACAAATATTACTGGTGAACCTACACCTTCCCTAGTTAAAGAAATGGTGGGTTTACCTCTGGGCTTTCAGACAGTAATGTATTTCTCCTCCTACAGTCACAACTTGAAAAAAAGAACCTGCTGTAGCTAATATTTACCTATGAAAATCATTTCTACAGAACAATCTAGAAAGAGTTTCCAAGAGCAAGCACGCATTACTGAAGAATCTTAATCCAAATTTCAGTTCATGGTAAGAAACAAAGGGAAAATAAGGAAGCATATCCCTGAAGTTTAGCTCCACTAACTTCCTCAGAATATACCAGTCTAGGGAATATGGCAATACTTCTATGTAGTTCATGAAGATTTGATCATGGATCATTTAATATGATCCTCCGTATAACGTAATTATAAATTTCAATCAGTAATCCCATTCAAGTTACTGATCAATGACTTGAATCAGTCATGCCAACTGTGGAATGCCTCTGAGACAGAACAGGAAACCACAACGTTATATGCCAACAACATCCTCTTTTGACAGGTAACTGATCAGGCACAACACTGCTGAGAATTACAGCACATGATTGGCATTTGCAACAAGAGCAAAAACTCTGACATCAGAGAAAAACCTCTGAATCTCGCATCTGATCCTCAGCTTAAGATTACATAAACCCAGTAAGTATTTAAAAGTATGGTTCCATTAAATATTCTGAACTACCACTGGAAACATCTTCTTCCCTTTGTTTTCAGCTGCTAATGAAACCCTGAGAGGTCCTTAAAGCATTAAAGCATGGTTCCAATCCTTCAATGTTGAAGGACTGAAAAAAACCCCAGTTATTTAATCAAGTAAAATTCCTCCTTAATACCTGCAAGTATTTAAACTCTGAAATGTGGTATTTTATTATAGTTTTTGTGTTAAAGCAGAAATGAAAGCATCATGTGGATACCCATGGCAGTATATTTGACATTTCTAAGACCCACCACTGGAAAACACATATTCACATACTAAACAGCTGCAAAACACCACCTAGTACAGAAAACCTTTTCCCTTTTTATGTTCAAGTTTTGGAATTTCTTGCAGAAGATGGGAGTAAGATACATCCCCAGTGGTCTTACATACCACACCCTATTCTGAACTACCTCTAGAAGCGTACGCTGCCCTTTGTCAACTAAACCAAAGAAGAAAAGAACCCTTCACAAACAGTACTCCTACCTCTCTCACTTTCCTTTGTTCCACTTCGAGAATAGGCTGAAGTTATACCTATAAGGCTGTTTGGTCTGTTTAGTTGACTTGAAGTCGAAAGAGAGCTAGTAGAGGTGGAGAGCGAAGAGGTGGTTGATGATGACGAAGTTGAAGTTGGTCTATAGCGATGATATGGCTATTCAGCAGAAAAATGTCAGAATTAATTTACCAAAATTAAGAAAGAATTAAAATACAGGCTATTAAAACATTCACATAGATAAATAATTCTTATAGTAGTAACAAAATTAAAATATTATAGTTGGAGTTAAGATTCATATAATTTCTCTACCTAAAGAGACTCATCATGAAAATACCTCTTCAACAGTTCGGGAATATCTTTGTCTATAATCATCATCTTTAGTTTCAGATTCTTTCTTTTCTTCTTGTTTTTCTTTGTCTTGCTTTTCTTTCTCTTCTTTTTCTTTCTCTTCATTTTCCTGTTCTCTGGTTCGTGTGGGACGACTTCTTCCTATAGTTTTTTCAGCTTCTTGAAGATCTGTCAGTGTTACACCCTGTGAAAACAGCAGTCAGCAAATGTTTCAATGTATCACTCATACTAATGTAGATGATCACTATTTTAATGACAAAATTCAGCCTAAGAATATTAATTCTATGTATGAAGAAATAAATTTTACCTATGTATTCTACCTGCAAGTTTTTCTCTCGAACCTTGGAGCCAAACATCCCTCTTTGACTAGTAGCAAGTGTTTGCTGTGATCTGATCTACCACAGATTCTCCAGCAACACAATTTTCAGTTTTTTAAGTTTGAAAGTAATATCAGTAAACTACATAGATAGAGACTTGGCCTTAACATGCATAAGGATGATGGCTAGAGTATCTCTTTGTGCTGTTTTATCCGGGACTATTTGCTGATTACTCTGTTTGTCAGCAGACACAAGAAGAGATGGGTAGAGACACTCCAGAGGATAGCGGTTGGTAATTGCTTCACTGCTCAAAGTGTTCAAGTACCATCTGGAGATTTTGCTACTGTCACATCCTCCCCGTTGTGAAGATTGCACTGGTTGCAATTTACTATGAGGTAGATCAGACAGAAATTGGAAAGAGCAACCAAATGTATCAGTACGTAAACTAAGAGAGAGAAAGGCTGAAACGAGGCATGCTGTTTGTTAGATTCTAAGATTATTAGCAAGTAACAAAAACCTCTTCCTTAGTATTCCTCCATGTTCACAGAAACTAGGTTGAATGTATTTTTTTCTATGTCATGGATCTTTCTAGCTAGCCATGTATTGGTCAGCTCAATCACATTATCTTCAGTAGCCCATGTACAGAAAAAAAGACTGAGAAATGGAAGTACATACAGTATGCTGTGCCTATTTCTCAAGTATTAAGTCTTCAGCCAGAAGCATACAGCTGTTAGTTCTTAAAGAATTCAAAGTGTTAAACATCTATGTAACACTGGATACAATTACTCAAGTAAGCCATTTTACCATAATAAACCAAAAACTTCATTTTAGTGGAGAAGCCTGTGCTTTCAAATTCATATTAAATGACTCTCCAGTGATTAGAAAAAGCAACTTTCAGTACACAATGAAGGGTCATAAGGCTTGCAGGGATGAAAGGGAAAAAAAGCCAAAACAGGCTTCATTTTATCTGGGACAAGTTGCTTTATACCAGGAAGACCCATCAGTTTAATAGAGCTTTACTGGCCAATTAGAACTCTACTGTACTCAGGGAGCTACATGTGTATGCTTCCATAAATGTAGGAGCTTTAATAAAACTTTACCTGTGTAGATCTTCTAGACTGTCTTGCTTGCCTGGATCTAGCTTTTCTTTGGGACTCTGACTCTTCATCCCGTACTGGAGTGAGGTATGATCTAAAGAGTTAATTACAAACAAAATTGGCAAATGATAACTTTTGTACAAATGTATTAAATGGTCAGAGAAAATCCCACAACACAATATGACTGAAAACCAAAGCAGTTGGAAGAAAATCTTCATATAAAACATATTACATTTTAGACATCTCATCCACATCATACTCATCTATTCATCAAGATAGCAGCCTGAGAACTCAACTAAAATACACAGTGTTTTTCCTACTTAATTTAGATTACTCTTTAACATTTTATCAAAACATAACGTAAGGTTTATTTGGTATTTCACTAACAAACGGGTAGACGACTTCAGAGATTCAGTCAGTTACATATTTATACATAAAATATGTGTAACTGAACTTGTAAGCATTTAGAAAAAACTAAATATATTGCTAATGCCAAAAATCTAATTATACCAGCTGTTGTAACAGATTAAAAATCCTTGAGGAGGTGGTTACCATATTTTCACATGAATCATCCATGCTTTGAGTAATCCCACCCCCTTTGAAAAAACTGTGCTTAAGGATAAATCCCCATGAAACCCCTCCAGAATCCTACAGAGTAAGCAGGTAATTGTAATCAAAGCCAAAAGGCTACTAGAGTAGACATACAAGGTCTCTAAACCAATCTTTAAAATGAGATAAAGAATATAGCTTTTTCAGCTATTCCAAAAGGATGCACCATTACATGCTCCATTTCTAAAAGTAGTTTATAATGTCTTTACTTTTCAAATATTCTTTGAAATACAAAAAACCAACAAAAACCACAGTTTCAATATGGATTCAATATGGAACCACAGTATCAATATGGATTAACCAACTGCATTTCTAAGGAAAATATTTAGCACATAATATTTCATATATAAAGAAGTTTTTCATGTGCATGTAAACATACAAAGATACACGCACGCACATATATATATGTATCTGTATATATACAACTAGATACGCACGTGCTGATATATGGAGCACAACCTTTCATCTGCATGCCATCATTATTTCAGTTTTGCTGATTTCTAAGCTTATTAAGGTTTCTAAGGATATTTTGATACGCCTTCAAGAATGTATCTGTAATAGTATATGACACAATTGGCCCAGAGCCAGATAAAAACAAGGCATTTCAGGCCAACTGCAGGTATACGAAACATACATAGTTTATGCGTGTTAGTATACACACACTAGTGAGAGCAAACGAGACAGCAGAAACCTTAATTCTAAATGTCCTTGCTTTTCTAGCTCATATGAAACTGAAATAGCATTTGCGTTTTAAAATTGAAACCACTACTGAAATAAAAGATGTGTTTTGCTGATTTTGCTCTTGATTTGTTGGGTTCAGTCAAATTTTGCTATGGAAAATGCTGGTTCCAACTATGGTTGTTACTGACATGGTTGGAAGCACGTGAGAGCACCTCCTGAATCATGGTAGAGAACTAAAAAATAATCCCCATTTCAGAGCACTTATTTCATCTCACTTTTGGGTATGAAAGAAAGACTGTGGAAAACAGACTATTCTAAATAGGCCTAAAGCTAGGAGAAACGTTGAAACGTTGTTGGTGTCTTAAGTGAACCAAAAGAATGCAGGTTTCTGCTGTAACCATGAACAGCTTCATTATCTCTGTGAACATACAGAGATGCACAAGTCTGGTAGGGATGCAGAAGTTACATTTCAAAACTACTATAGGAGCAACACAGAAATCTGGCATTTCAGC